TTGGTGCTCTTTTAACCGTGTACCAAACTGACGTTTGGTCTGTCCGATGTATTCGTTGTCACAGTCATTGCAAGGAATAGAATAAATGGCGTCGGTTCATTGTTCTTTCGTGACAGGATCCTTAGGTTTGGCGAAAATACGCCCCAAAGTCTGAAAAGGTTTTTGCGCAACTTCAACGTTGTGGCTATTCAAAATTCTCTTGATGGGTTCTGTAACACCCTGTATGTAAGGAATAACAGCAAAACCAGTCGCTGGTTCCCTTTCATCAAGAGCGTTACTATTTGTAACTGGTTTTTGGCAGTTACGGAGTAAAGTTTTTGTATAGCCATTTGCCTTTAGGACATTGGAAACATATTTCCTCTCCTCAGCCTTCGAATCGAGTGAAGATGGTAGACAGTCAGCCCTCCTAAGTAAAGTTTTGGCTACAGACTTTTTATGGCAAATAGGGTGGTGAGAATCGAAGGCGAGGTATTTGTCAGTGTGGGTAGGTTTACGGTAGACACTTGTCTCTAAATTACCCTGAACCCCTCTGGACACATCAATTTAAGCAAGCATTACTTTCAATTTTCAAAACAAACTTTATTTCCAAATCGAACAACAGCGTCGTCAACATGCTCTATACTCTCTTAAAGCACGCTACAACAAGCCAATCAGAATCCCTGTTAGAATAGTTCAAATAATCTGATTGGCTGTCAAAAATGTCAAACCATCAAGGTTTAAAAACCATCAAAATTTACATTCTGCAATAGTTTAAAAACTTGAATAGTTCGGCGGGTCGAATTTAACACTTTTGCTTGAATTTTTTTAGTCTCTAATACAGAGTCTGAAAGTGAAATGTTAAGAGAAACTCGGCAGAATTGTGGCTCATAAAAACACACAAGTTTTTTCACATGACAAGTAGAAAACATACTGTTCAAGGAGAGTGTTTTATGAAGGAACTACAGCCGAATTCACCGGAACATAAAGATCGCTCGGGATGACAGCGCCGTGACACTCGGCTGCAGTGACTGATGTGGCCTTCCACTCAACTCATCGGAAAGGATATTAGAGCAAGCTCTTATTTTTTCACACGAAGGGCGGCTGATGTACTTCCTTAGGTTTGCTTTACTGCAATGACCAAAGATCGCCATGTGAGCTAGCTGCGATGGACCTCAGAGTGTTTGCAGTCGCTCTGACACCGGCATGATTAGTGTGAATTTTAACAGTTACGCCAGTTTGGCTATAATTTTCCTCATTCTTGTTATGTTCTGTTTTGTTTTTGATCACGAAACTTTACTTACCATACGAGTGTTAGCTGTGTTTGATTTTTATTACTGTACATAAGCTTGCCATCTAACTAAGCTTGAAAACCTTTAAAACTCGGACTGTCCATTTCGTTTTCTTCTTGAGGATTTTCTTCTCTGCTCACGTTATAATAACGTATATTACGGCGCCTGGCCTTTTTAAAAACCTTTGTTTGGTTCCTCCGTTGCTACTTGCCGGCTCCACTGTTCCGAAATTTCACTTTCAATAAACGAAAAAAAAGTCAGAGAGAGGTCCCGGAAAAGGTCAAACATAGTACAATTTGGCTTTAGCTCAGCTCTACGCTCTGTACTCTCATAGAGCACGCTCTTTCAACCAATGACAGTACGCGTTATATCCAAACTTTATTATAATTAACAAATAGAGAAGCCTTGACTGTGCTCTGTTTTGTTATAAAGCACGCAGGAAGCGGCTAGAGCACGAAAGAAGCGTAGGGAGAAACACTCGACGTAGTCACTTCTTTCGTGCTCTAGCCGCTTCCTGCGTGCTTTATAACAGAACAGAGCACAGTCAAGGCTTCTCTATTTGTTAAATCAATACTTCCTGCTCAAGCCAATATAATTTCGTGTCCCTATGCTCAAGCAAATTGATAGTTAAAAATCACGACACTAGCAAAATTGTCAGCAATTACAAACATCTGAAAGAACAATATAAGCGAAAGAGACTTCTTGAACTCCAGGAAAATAAAGTTTAATGTTGCAAAGAAAAATTATATTTTCTGCCTTGACTGAATCTTTAGTGAAGCTCCAGAAGAAGCTGTTTGCTGGTCCTGGTGTTCAAATCCTAATAATTATCATTTCTTGTCGAAACACAATAAGAAGCAATCCTGGATTCCATCTTTATACGAATAACCCTTGCAGGAAACAAATTTCAAGGACGTAACTACCCCAACATCAAAATCGTCATTTTTCGAAGAAATAGCAGAAATTAGCGGGAATAATCGTGGTGTATCAATTTTAATGGAAATTAAAAACTGTAATTTAATAATAATAATAACAATTTTCGGTTAAAATAGTCTGACTCGTCCTGAGGTTTGGGGTAACTTTAAAATCTTGCAATTTTCAGGCTCTAGGGTGCAGAGGAAACTTTACGCAGAGGAAGAACTGTTTGAGCCTTTCCAGACAATTCAGCACTAACGCCTTTGAGATAAAAAACCAATTCATGGCGGGTGAAGAACGTGGGAGTGAAGAAGATATCTTTACTCGTATGAGTACCTTCGTCAATAAAAAAGTTACAAAGGCCACAAGAAGGTAAGACGAGCACGGTAGGCAAGTAACATTCTCTGCAAGCCCTCACGATCCAGATCAAAGTAGGATGTGGCTTTGCCACAAAAGAATAGACTTGACACTTGACAACGCAGGCTGTTTATAGTATAACGATTACTTTTTGTGAACTCTCACAAACTGATAAGATGATACCAACGTTAATCGAGGCATATTATATCCCATTAGTGCTCAAGAATTTATGAACCGTCACTTTCATGTACGAGAGGAAATAATTCCATCGGAAGAAGGTTAGTGTTTTCGTTTTTTGTTTGGTTTTATTATTTTAAGCTTGGTGCACCCATCGATCGTATTCCTCGTTTGTAGTTGATAGATATTTAACCCATTGACTCCCAGAAGTAACTTTATAAAATAATTCAAATAGTACGCGCGCTCTGATTGGCCATAAAACCATTTTACATGAGCGTATGTAAACACGGTTTATCATACTGAATCTTCTCGCGGAGTTCTCTCTGCTATTTATTTAGCAGTAACTCAGTTTCTTTAAGTTTGTTTTGAGTACAGTCATGGAAGAAGAAGATTGTCCTAATTTTTCTTTGGAGTTTAATTTTCCCAGTATTCAAGAAACGGCCGAAAAGCCAAATGAACAACAACAACAAGCACGTCGCTTTCCTTCGTTGCAAGAAGAGGCTCTTTCATTAGTTATTTTATAATAAAATAACTCGATAAGCTGGAAACCACTCCACTTCGCGTCGTGGTTTCCTACGCTTATCTCGTGTTCTCCCAACCTCCCGCGTGTTTACATCAGGCTATGTAAACACGGAAACCATTTTACATTTCTTCATCTTCATACAATATCCATCCACCATCCAGCAAACAGGTAATGGGAATACTCTTATCTTGATCTAACACAAAATTCTCGTAACTTATTTACAAGAAAATGTCTTGCAACTAGAGGTGAGAATTAATAACCAGATCTTTGGAGTTAAAGGGTTAACTGAAAGTTAGTAACGAGAATTTGGTTACAAATCAATGATACTCTTTACTAAAAATTTGCGTTTTACTTTATGGTATTTGATTTTGTAACGTAAAGTACATAGGTCATATCTGAATCCAATCGGTTCAAAACTTAACTTTCAACATTAGTTCAAATACAAAACCTCTATGTAGAGGGTGCGTTTCAAGTGAGTAAAGAAATAATACCTAAATTCAAAGGCTTTACACCTATACCCGTATTGAAAATCAGGTTTTTAGCGGTCTCTTTTTTAAAGAACTAAGAGAACACATGAAAACTTATTCCTTCCCGCCATTATCCTAGTTTTCAAGGTTTAACAAAAAGCAAAAAGCAAACGTACAATAATAAACTGTTTGTGGGATCTTCAAATTGTTTTTCACGTTTCAAGTTTCACGTTTGTAAACGTGATCCCAACCTTAAATCAAAACCGATTTTCGCATGATACACTGCAGCCTACAGCACAAAATTATAATTACAAATATTTCGCCAAAGACCTACATTAAGCGAATCGGAGCTCGAGAGTACCAAATATGATGATTTAAAATGAAATTATTACTCAGACTACCAAGAATCTTCCATCCCATGCTATCCCCGCTCGAATGAAAAAAGGCTAATGTCAAAATATATTTTTCTTGTTCATTGTAGGTTTGAGTTGTACAATAAATCCGCCTAATTATGACTCGGAAAAAGACGAGGAAGACGGTCCTGAAAAAGAGATAAGTGAAGGTATTAAAATTTTCTTTAAAAGCTGCTTCTTAGATGTATGGTTTCCAAGAAAACTGAGTATTGGTGTCGAATGTTACAACGCCAATTCGTAAGTTTGATGATTCCTGTCTATAAAAATCAAGAGCCCATACAGGTGCAAATAGATGAAAATAATCGCTCAGGTCCAACAACGTTTCTTTGACAATCGTAAGGCAAAAAGAGCAGAGAAGGTGTCCTTAGAAAGAAATGTGTGAGTGTGCAGCGATCCTAGTTTCCAAAAACTTTAGATCAATGTCACTGAGGAACTGCGCTTAGCTTTTGTTTGACTGCCATTTTTAAAAGTATCATAAGATGTTTCTTTGTGGGTGTCCATCTTGGGAGAAAATGGTGAAGCACTAACATGTTCAGCTCAATGGTCAGTACACCCTCTCACCTATCTTTTGAGGAACACTCTAGTTAGGTAGTCTGTTGGTAAGGATTCTCCAGGTAAAAGAGGACGACAGTAAATCCTTTGGGATGCAAACAGAATCCATCCTCCAGACGTTGCCAGACCATCCGATGTCATCCGTCCGATCAATATTTCACGAAAGCAGTCGAAAATGTGTATATTTACGATAACATCACGACTGGGAAGATATTTATCAACATAAATAAGCAGAAAAAGGATTTCAGTCTAAAACTTAGAGGATTTGAACCACTAAGCACAAAAGTGGTAAGTATTGTCGAGAGAGAAAATTTCTCCTAAACGACTTAGCATGTCATTTCATTCATCCACAGCGCTAGCTGAGACAAAAATTACAAACATCTTTCATGAGACTGCGGACAAGATAACGGAAACCATCACCGTCGACAACCTTTTTCAGTGTCGAAATCCCTTCACAAAAGCTTTTGAGGTAAGTGACTTTCATAACACCTTTGGCCAAAAAAAATGGTTTTTCTTTTTCAATAAAAGTTGAAAAAATGTTAATTTTTTAATACAATAGGTTTCTGCAAAGCTACGGGAACTAGCCAAAACACGCAATGAAAATGTGGTTCTTCTCAACAATTTGGCAGAAAAGGTCGAGGACTTCTCTGTTACACTCATGGACCAAGTAAACACTGAAGAGGAAATAAAAATCGATGTTCACGAAAAAGAAAATATGGATACCTACGCATGTCTACTTGACAGTATAACAGAGTCCGCAATACGCCACGAACAGAAGAAGGTTAGGGAAACCGTTTCATTCATGTGTTGATCTTATTGTTGTCAGTGTTGCTTTTATCGTTGTTGTTATTGTTGTTGAGTATATGTGAACAATATGAAATGTCCGTTTTATGATTTAGAAATTAGATAGATAACGTTAGGGCTGCGGCTCAGGTTCAAGATCTAGATTGCCATAGACAAAAGCAACCTTGCATATAAAGAAATCTACAGATACTGAATGAAGAACAACTAAGTTGCGACGCGATTTTGCAATCACCCTTTCAAAATGGCAGCTATTCTTCTTCTAACTGAAAACTTTGCATGCTCTAATTTTTATAAATTGCAATGTTACGCAGTTTGTCTCGCATCCACTGACATACAGACTGGTGAACCAGAGATGGAACTATGGTTTGCCTTCGCACTACCTTGGGGGATGGAAGCTTGTTTTGCTGTACATATTCACCGTAATCGAGACGACCTTAACTCCTCTTCTGTGTCCATTCATCGCATATGTGTTCTACATGGACCAGATATCCAACAGTAAGCGTACAGAGGAGGAAAAAGAAAAAGGAAAAACCGAAAAGCCCCTTCGAGGTCTGTATGTTCTCTACACAGTGGTAAGCAAAGAAGAAAGTCACTCAAGAGTTTTAATGATATTGATAGTGGGAATGAATTTAAGCGTAGTCTTGCCCCTTTGAGAAATGCGAAAAAAAAAGCATAGAAATCAGCTTTTTATTCATTTGTTTGAAAGTGGAGAATGAGGTAAAGAAACTATTGCGATTATTCTAAAGGAACAAATGCATAAATTCAACAATTCTTCAGTGTTACAGACGCCCGACTGAACTTAAATTATGCTGCTACTTGTATGTGTCCCTGGCCGACCTTTTAGTGACTAGGAATCGATGGCTTTGGAAAGGCGTTATGAAGTATTTGCGATTATTCTCAAGGAACAACTGCAGAAATTCAACAACTCTTCAGTGGTACAGACGTCTGACTAAACTTAGATTAAGCTGCTACTCATATATGTCCCTGGCCGTCCTTTTAATGACTAGGAATCGATGGCTTTGGAAAGGCTTTCTGAACAATTTCACAGAGTGAGAAAATCTTTCCAATTATTCTTCTTTCTTGCAGATAAATACTTAAGCTACTTGACGACACCTTTCGTGATCTTTTTGAAGGACAAACTCAGTCAATTTGTCTTCATAGTGCTGCACTTAAGAATTTCCGTCCTACCATCTTCTGTTTCCGCGAAGACAGAGGAATACCTAATCCTGATATTTTATGTTGGTTCTTTGCTGACTGAGTTCCAACAGTACAGAACATCTCAGTCTAAAGTTTATCTACGGTAACAAAAGTTCCCTATTTTATCATTTTATTACCTTTTTTCATAATCTACTCTTTTCCCTACTTTCCTTTTATTTTATTTTTTGGTTCTTTCTTGACTGTGTCTCGCTAACTCAAGGCAAACCTCGTCTCGTCCTCCTGTAGATCTTCTTTAGTAATTATAACTTTCGCCGCATTCATAACCTTTAGCAAATCACTTGAATATCAACTTCAATGCAGATAAAGTAAATTACTTTTAATTCTTTTGCAAAGTTCGTAAAAATAGCATTAATTTTGTTTAAAATTTTCAAATTGGTAATCAAACATAACCCGACATTCAATTAAGCTCCCAAAGAAGATTTGGGTTTATTGAAAATGTTCTTTGAAGGAGAAGGCAGATCTACCATATCAATTCAGAGACACATAACTTAGAAAAACTTCAAAATAGTAAATCTACCAAGGTTATCTACTGATTTAACTTTTTGATAGAAAATTTGATAAGAACGTGGTAGCACATTTTCCTGTATTCATCTGGCATGTTTATATACTGATATTACGCTAAATACTCTTTTCTTTTATCTATCCATAATTCTTCTCTTTTCCTGTGGTAAGATGACTGCAGATATGTTTATATTTGACAGAAACAAAACGTAATCTCCAAATATTTTATTCTTTCCAGGAACATGTGGAATTACGTTGATGTAATGACCCTCTCACTACATGCATTGATATTGGTTCTTCGTATCATTTCGATCTGCCTCGGAGGAGATCCTTACCATAACCGATTGCTGGAAGTGGTCAACCACTTTTATGGCATCACCACTCTGCTCCTTGTACTGAGGTTCTCAAGTATTCTAGCAGTAAACAAAACGGTCGGACCTCTTCAACTTGCTCTGTTTCGAATGTGCATCGACTTAGCAATTATTTTGATTCAATTCTTTTTTGTTATTGTGGCATTTTCTGTGGCTATCACCATGATCTATACTGCAGAGATGTCCTACTTGATTCCCACAGGACAAAAGAAGATCAACGGGACTCATTTTGACGGGTCAGTGAACTCTGCTGCTTCGTTCATTTAAAAAGATTTGTTCGTTAGTCGGGTTGTTTTTTTGGATCATTTACAACAAATCACTAGCTCTGCCAATTTTCAATTCCTAACCGAAGACGAAAGAACATTTTGTCTCTTTTCAAGTTATTCCTCACCAGTTAAATTAATTTTTCTTAGTTGTAATTTCCTGGTTTTCTCTTTATGACAGCTTTTGCGCAGAAGGACGAACAGCTTGGTAAGTTATGGTCCTTAGGAATCAACATGTGCACGTTCAAAGTCGAAGCTTTTTTTTAAAATTGATTTCCTGCCATTGAGAATAATCAGAATTCAAAGATGCAACAGACATTCATTGCATCAAGTACAAGCTTCAACGGGAGCATGAAAATACCACTTCCCACATTAACGTACATCACAAATATTGTGATGTACGTCGTGGACTCTCGGATTTTGGTCAACTTAGTATTTTATGAAGAACTCCCATATAAGCAAAAGCTGAAGTGGCATGCTGTTTGGATAATTAAGAAAAAACGTGGCCGAGAAAACCAACTACTCTATTTTCATTTTTAAGCTTATTCAAAGCATCCACACATCTTGTATGGTCTGTCTTCGGTCTCACTAATCTCGAGACCATGGAATCTCACGGAGAGTTGTCCTCAGCCGTAGTTGGTGTTCTGTACGTGTTGTTCTTGATTCTGTCAGTTATTATGCTAATCAACATGCTTGTTGCATTGCTCACAAACACCTATCAGAAGGTCGAGGTAATGTAATTGCTTTTTTGTTTTATGATCAAGTTTTGAGTTTCTATACTACTGTCTCATTGGTTGTGTTAATTTCATTGTCCAATCTCTTCATCGAGCAACATAAAGCGAAGTCATCTCAAGAAAAAGAAATGTTATTTTGGAGTAATTATAAGTAATTATAATTGTGTTCAAACGATGTTCAAATCATTTTTCTAATCGTCTTGCTTTTAACTTTTAGTTCGAATGCTCTGATATCTTTCTACTACAATCGAATGAGATTTTAAAACTGTTGAATGCGTATCGCTTTCTCTTCAGACGAATGCGGACGTGGAGTGGAAGTTTTCACGTGCAGTAGTAGCCGATGAGTACAGAAGATTTCATCCCATTGTAGTTCCATTCAATATCATTTCTTTTCCCGCTTGCCAATGCTACATCTGGAAATGTGGTGACCGCCGAGAAAAGGTGTGAACGAATACAAAAGCCAAATCTCTTTCTCACCTTTTTAGTAAGCGAAGACAAAGGGTGTTTATAGAAAGCATTAAGATGAAATAAGTCAAGGCATAGACTCCTGTGGGGAGTGGAGTGGAGGCCAGTTGACCAATCTTCGAACTGAGATTACATGAACTTCGCCCGTTTGTAAAGAATAGTCTTTTTTTTCATAAGCCAGTGCTAGCACGATCAATTTACTTGTCAACAACGTAAATTGGCGTTTGCGCTATCGTCTGAGTTTTAAACGTTTTCGCAGGCTTGCCGATTTTCTTTATGGATCACCAAATCAAAATACGAAACAACTGCAATTTAAACAGTATTAACTTAAATATTACTCTCTAAAATGCAAATGATCAAGATGGGTCTTAGGCGCACTGTCTTCGCAAAATAGGAGTTTAGAAATTCGTTTAAACTATGACAAGATGGTTCGCCTGAGTACCAACTTTGCTCCCCTTCCTTTCTGCTTTTCCTTGCTTTTAGAAGGTAAACGTAACCACATATCTTCTCTCTTCCTTAATACAATTATAGTGCATCGTTATGACCTGTCTTCCATACATGTTTGCACAAGTTCAATATAAAGACCTTAATGCGTTGTGGATTCCTGTCGATAACTGCTTTATGGCGAAACTTTGCGGGGAAGCTTATCGGAGATTTGTGTCCAGAACATAAATTAAACTTTGTGGTTTTATCTCTGACTTCAGACGGCTAAAGATCGACGCAGAAAGTATATCAAGTTTTATGATGAAGAACTTTTCCCTGTTATTAAGAAGCGCTATCAGGATAAACACGGCCTTTTATTTCCATTGTCAAGTAAGTAGAGGACTGAGGAAAGAGCAATCCTTTCCTGAAAATATATATGACTGCTTTTAGGCCACACCACGAGTTTGCATTTTCATATCTATTTCTCTTACTTTTTTTCTTGGCTGTTTAAAATAAAACGTTATAGTATTTGCCCACTCAGCCTTTTTGGGGGGATTTAAGCATTCTGATTGGTCCTCTACCTCAAGGCAAACCGTGGACCGTGCTCCCCAACAAGTTCGGTTTTGATTAATAAGAGGTTTAGACCACGACTAATATTCTAATGTTCACCTGGATTTCAACGAATGGATGTTTAACTCTCTTAACTGTATCATTTCAAGAGTATGGGCATCATTATAGTTATGCCAAACTTATTATTCTTTTGTTTCAACATTCTCACACCTGTCAGACAGTATCAAATGAATAAGAAAACCACAGAAAACTGCATATAGGACGTTGTTTTAAAGAGTCGAGTTAAAGATAATTGGTTAAAACGTTTCTAAACATCAATATTGATTTTATGAAAAAGCGATGTTAATCGTGCGGTGGCACACGACCGCAATTTTCCCATCTTATTAAAGACTTTTCATTTCTTGATTTATGCTTTATACAATTCTACGAAAATATACAACTGCCTAAATTCCATCTACCATAGCTCCTTAATCTCTCCCCTTTCTCTCGAGGTGTGTCCATATCTACATGCATCTTTTACCTCCCTCTTCCGTCCAGCTATAATACTAGAATCCATTCTATTTGCAGCTGAAGAGAAAATTGACAAGCTTCAAAACGATTTGCAGAAAATGGTGGAACATTTACAGACCTTTATGGAGGTGAAGGACCAACATAAAAGTCAGGTTAGAAGTAATCTATGCTTTGATTTGCAAACATTTCAAAAAAATTCCGTTTTTCATTGTGTTGTTATATTTACTTTTTATTTTTTTGTTGTTATTTCTTTTTATGTTGCTCTCCTCTTTATCTAGCGTTTTCTCTGCTCCTGTGTCTATCGCTCTCCTTCGTCAGAGCGATGGAGGAAGGAGCTAACGCTCGAAACGTTAGCCTTTAAATTCTTTAAGGTGGCCAATTTACGTTATCAACTCAGTTGATAACACGAAATTACTCTGTCATTCTCTACCACCGACGTAGCACCACGGTTTCTTTGGAAACTTACCCCTTTATTCACTTGCTTGTTTTAGTTCGGCTATGTTGATTTTTTTGTTTGCTTTTCTTTTGGTTTTCGGCTTTAATTCCATTATTTATATCTTTTTCGTTGTTAATTGTTTGTAATTATTAGTTTTTCGTCTGGTAAACTCTCTGGAAAAATAGGAACAAATTTTCTAACTGTGTCTTTTCATGGTTTCTTTTTAAAATAAACTTTGTTAACAGACCCCATGTCAAGTCCAACAATCAGATGTTTCCCAACGAGAGTGCTACCAGTCCGCAGTTTGACAGGAAAGCGACGACAATTACGGACAGGCACCTGAGATTTAAGAGTGATTTTGCTGAATAGGAGGAGGATTCTTATTGCAACCTTTTAGTTTGACCAGTTTTATAGGCTATATTGATCATCGAGTCAGATGAAAGGGAAGGTTTACTCATCTTTTTTTAATAAAATTTTCTTGATATGAAAACAATTATTACGAATGTGATTTCTTATCTTAAATAAACAAATATCACTGTAATGCTAAAAACTCAGTGATACAAGTATAAAGAGACACTTTTTGAATATATCTCATTTGCGGATGTAACCATGGGGAAGGGGGAAGATAAAACTTTCTTCGGATACAATTCGATGCTACAGAGACCTTCGCAGGTTTCTAAGTCGAAAGCTTTTGTCATTTAGAATACACATACACCACACGTGTGCTCTAAAACTTTGAAATTTAGTGGCCGCTCCTAGATATTTTTTTAATTAGCGCACCCAACAGTTTCAAAACATTTGTTGTTTTATAACTATGGCCACTGGAATTTCTACACGATACATCGACACGGTAGAATCTCGAGCCTGATTTGCAAATTTGAAAATAAATGTGTCGTATAGTTCAACAAAACAAAATGGATTCCCTTTCGTGTTTGATAATATCACGACGAGTCACTAAAATTTTTACTATGAGAATTTTGGGCGTTTGCAACACACTCGCCTGCTGCCTGATTTTCATACCGACAAAGCAAAACGGGTCTGGTGGTTAATTCCGTCGCACGAGTAGAGAGTTTGCTCGCTGTCATAGATCGATTTTGATAACGGAACGAGCAATTAATTTTACTTTTTTTTAACAACTATTCACCGAAGTATCGGAGGCTAGTGGTCGATATTTACCGTGTTACGAAGCGGCGTGGTAAATATCCACCACTAGCTACCGACACCTAGGCGAATATGCTGAAACAGTGAGATAATATAGCACAAACTTGAATTATTTTAACTCATTTATTCTGGCAACGATCACAATTTTTCCGGATATAAATCTAGCGCGATTTACTCGGAGGCGAATAGCAAAGGATATTAAGAGTCTGAATAGCCAATAAGAGCGCTTCCAACGCTATCCGCTGTTTTAGTATTCCATAAATAATGATACACAGCTACATGGAATCTTATTTGCGTAATGAACCGATCAATGTAGTGACAAAGTGACAGAAGAACCCCTTTCCCTTGTGATGCGATTATCTACAGATAAGGGTCATAGACCCATTCATCCATTCATTTGCATAGCTCGAACATGAAAACTTCGTGCAGCATCGCTTTGTACACGTATTCACACGAGCAATTTTTACACTTCTTTCAAAATCCCCCAAATAGGATTACGAAAGATGTAATTTGTGCCTTGTTATGTAGTTAGGTTTCGTTTTCGTTTAAATTTATTTAGTTATTTTTTTTTTCTAAAATCTTGTTATGTTCACACCAGGTTTTACTTAGAGCCGTACTCGCATACTTCCTTAAGTAACTGTTATCTACTTGTGTATCTCATGTTATTCATAGGATACCCTAAGACCCAGAGGGTGGCACCATTGCCTTAGTTAGGGGTACACGTTCCTCATTTTTTTCCACCTGCTGGTTTTTAGGGTTTTCGTGTTCGGCTTGGTTTATTTAGTTTTTTTCCATCGTAATTATAATAAACTCTTGTAAATATATTGGTGTTAAATTAACTGTACGGTGGCTTGGCTGGCAAACGCGCCCAGATATCAACACCTCGAATGCCCGGTTGACTAAGGGAAGCAAAATGTTAGATATTTCACAGCTGAGTGCTACGTGTTATAAAATTAGTCATATGGGACAAAACTAGATATGCAGCTAATTATAGATGGTTTGTTCTTTTGTTCAGTTCGGTAAATTAGACGTTATGCATGCTTGCATCCTACTGATGTACTTGTCGACCGATTTCGCCATGATCACGTTAAGTTATCTTTAAGAGATAGTCAACTTTCATTGATCCAGCACGCTTACAACGGCGAGATGACTGAACTGATTTGTCAAACAGTGATAAACGAAGAAGATGGAGGTGCAGGTGACCCCCTCAGGATGACGACAAAGCTGAAAGAAGGTAAAGCTGTTCGCGCTTGTACAGAATGGTGGTTTTATCGAAAATGTGTCCTTGTCTGTCTTAACTAATGTTGCAGATGCTTTTCTTCTAATTATTATTTTCGTGGGGCTGTGAGTTTGTAGGTTTGTTTGTCTATTTTGCATGATTTCTTGATTTTTTTTTGGTGACTAAAGCTCTAAAACTCCGTAATTCCGGCACTCAGGCCATTCATCACCATACCATCGAGACAGCCCGGTTGCCGAATTCAAGCCACGATATGAGTGGTATTTGATTCATTGCGGCAAAATTACTAGCTGCTTACTTATATCCCCCCAGGCTGTAATTAGTGACAACCGTTTTAAAATACCGTCTTGTGAATGAAAGAAAGCCAGTAAAGCTGATTTACCCAGCAGGATAGTATCATGGAAACGAAGAAATGCACATAAGGGGGTTAGGAAAGGTTGAAAAGCTGAGCGAGTGTTATGCCTTTGAAGAAGCAAAGCAAATTTTTTTCATTCATTCTAGTGATATCTAACCAACACCGTTCTAGTAATGTATTGACACGTAAGCACGTTAAGCCAACAATGATCCTCTTTGTTCCGAAGAATATCAAACATTTTAAACTCCAACTTCTCAAACTTCCGATACAGCGATTTATTTGCCTTTATCAGCATGTAGTTGACAGTCAATCATTACCCGCCAACGTACTGTAAAAGCCGTCTACTATTTGTTAGCAATGCAAGGTAAACGCATGCATGTCTGCTAAGGCAAACATGCGTGCACACTTTGAAGTTTTTAAGTACTTTAAGTTATAATTAAGTTAATCTGATGTAATCATACATCTTAAAAAAACAGACCCTTACAAATTTAAACCGGACCGATAAGTTTCTGATTTTTCTTTCAAATACCAAAATCCGAGAGAATGATAGACCCGACAGACTGGTGCTTGGCGGTCAAAAAAAGTCCCTTTTTCGGTGAAAGCATGCAATAATGCTTTTTTTCAACGCCGTGCATGACTGAATCCCCATCACAGTTTCCTCTTACTTCGTAAAAAATTTACCCTAAAAAAAAAAAATAATAAAAAACTGAAAACCTATCATTTCATTTTCGGTTGGTGGTGTTGTAGTTCTTAGACTGAGGTAATTTAGAATAAAAGGAGTTTCAGTTAAATTAGGTCATATTTCCATCCATCTATTCCAGTCACCTGAATCTCCTAGGCCCAATTCGACAATAATAGGACTTAATTTAGAGCTTTGGTTTTATATGAAATTTTCATGAATTTATACAGGCGATGTTATGTCTTCTAGCTTTGGTTAATTCTTACAAGCAAATTTCATGTCTCCCTGACGTACAGGTGAAGTAAAAATCGAACGCCTCCTTGAACAATTTCCAGAGGATACGGTGGAAGAGATTAAAGATGTCATTACAGCTGAAAACTTATGCTCCTGTCAAAATCCCTGGAAAACATCCTTTCAGGTAAGTCAATCCAATAAGGGAATAGTAAGTACGAGGCCAATAACGAAAAAACAAAAACACGTAGGGTCAAAGAGGCTATCCATATAAGACTTCATCCCAACAACATCGATAGAGATAGCGGAATCGACAATTCCGAAGCTTGGATACCCACGATCAAACAACACAACAGCCGATTTATGAGGACCTATGAGGGAACACCATCTAACAACCGGAATAATACTAAGAAATCGAAACTAATCGAAATGCACCAATAACTGCATATCAACGTGCTACAAATAGTGACAAGTAAACAATAGACCTCGTCGCCTGATGAAGACTAGCAGTATTTCAGTCGAAACGTCGCGATCTACATCAAAAGTGACTCTATCGTGAGACAAACGAATAAAGTTCGTCTCCTATCTTACACCACGATGAACAATAAGCACATATATTATTAAAAGGTTTAACTGAAGTTGACTCAATGTCATTTAGTGATAGTTAAACCAAACGACTTCGAGGAACCTTGTTTTATTTATCCGCAGGTATTTTTATATATATATATATACATATATATATATATATATACATATATATATATATATATATATATATATATATATATATATATATATATATATATACATATATATAGGAAGTCTGCAAGTCGATATATATATAAACATATATACACATATAATATACATATATTATAGCCTATGCTGGGAGCAGAATGTTAAGGTCGTTTCAGTGGATATTCGGCGACTTATTTAACAAATAGAGAAGCCTTGTCTCTGCCCTGTTCTGTTGTAAAGCACGCAAGAAGCGATTAGAGCACGAAAGAAGTGTGGAGAGAAACACTCGACCACGTCTCGTCTTTCTCCCCACTTCTTGAGTGCTTTAGCCGCTTCCTAAGTGCTTTACAATAGAACAGAGCACAGTCAAGGTTTCTCTGTTTGTTTTATAGTAAAGAATCTGTTAAATTCTCCACGTATGCTTTCAATTTTCCAAACAAACTTTATTCTAAAGTGAACAACAGTGTCGTCAGCATGCTCTATACTCTCATAGAGCACGTTATAATGAGCCAATCAGAATTCCTGTTAGAATGGCTCAAACAATCTAATTGGCTGTACAAGATTGAAGCTGTCAAAAATGTTAGAGCATCAAAGTTAAAAAAACCATCACAGTTCATATTCCACAATAGTTTACAAACTTAATAGTATAGCAGGTCGAATTTAACTCTTTCTCTTGGAGCCTTTTAGTCTCTAATACAGAATCTGAAAGTGAAATGTTAAGTGAAATCCGGCCAAATTGTGGCTCATAAAAACACGCAAGTTTTTTACGGATAACAATTAGAAAACAAACTATTCAAGCGTGTGTTTAATGAATGAACGACAGCCGAATTTACCGGAATATGAAGATTGCTTGGGATGACAGCGCCGTAAAACTCGGCATCAGTGTCTTATGTGGCCTTCCACTCAACGCCTCGGAAAGGATATCAGAGCAAGCTCTTAGTTGTACTCTCGAAGGGCGGCCGATGTAATTTCTGACGCTTAATTGAATGTGATGACCGGAGATCGCCATGATCAGCTAGCCGCATTGGATCTCAACATGACACCGTTATGATTAGTACGAGTTTTAACAGTTACGCCAGTTTGGCTATATTTTTTATCATTCCTATTTTGTTCTGTTTTGTTTTTGAACACGAAACTATACATACTACACGAGTGTTAGCTGCCTTTGATTTTTATTACCCTAAGTAAGCTTGCAATCTAACCGAGTGTGAAAACCTTCAAAACTCCGACTGTCCATTTCGTTTACTCTTTGAGGATTCTCGTCTCTGCTCACGTTATAATAACGTCAATTACGGCGCCTGGCATTTTTACAAACCTTTGTTTGGTTCTTCTGTTGCTATTTGCCGATTTGCCTGTTCGGAAATTTCACTTTCAACGACAGAAAAATAACTAGGGAAAAGTCCTGGAGAAAGCCGGATATACTACAATTTGGCAGATAACGTGACAGTCTTAGTTCAGCTCTATGCTCTATACTCTCATAGAGCACGCTCTTTCAACCAATGACAGCGCGCGTTACATCCGAACTTTATTATAAAATAACTGATATAAAGCGGAAAGTCCTTAACGCTGTGAAGACGTTGTCCGTTTCTGGAACTGCTTGCGAAAAGGTGTTTCCACCAGGAATCCAACTAATTAATACTAGGTAACAGAGGACTGGGGATAACAAATGATAGAGCGGTCTATATACCGAGTGTTGTAAGACCAGATTTAATAGGTCAGTGGCAATTATCGCTTCCAATTAAAACAGAGGAGCATCTCTAACGATCACTACTTCAAGTTCAATTGCAAGGATTCAAATTTAAAAAGACCAAACTTTTAAATAGTTTTTTTTGCCATCTTAACAATAGTGTAATGCAAAGCTCAAGAAAGTTGCCCAAGAACGAGATGAGAACGCGGAAATCCTCAACAATTTGGCGGGAAAGGTTCAAGACTTCTCCGTTGCGTTGATGGACCAAGTAACCCCAACAGAGGAAAAATCCATTGTTAACAATGCATCTTTACTTGATAGTATAACTCAGCCAGCAATTGACTACCAACAGAAGAAGGTGAGTGAAGTTCCTGTTATTATTGTCTGTTATCATTATCCTCAGTGTGATTTTTATTGTTATTGTATCCGGCAATCAATGTGATGATTATTGTTGCACTTATTCTTCGACATTTCCGTTTGTCGTTGCTTGTGTCAGTAATTCTTGTATCAAAGGGGAATAACTGATAAACTGAAAACTTCAATAAGCCAGCAGGACTAGTCACATAGTTAATTCTCCTGAAAGTATGTCATTTATCCAGACATGTTATCCTGTGGTACCTGTCGTACGCAACAACTGACATCTGTTCACGCGCTCGCACGTGAGATAATTCGAATAAATTTATATCAGTATGGGACAGTTAAGAATCAATCAGTGGTTTGGGTACGGAATGGCTCAAACTTGGATACGAAACGACTCAACCTTAGGTACGAATCGACTACATTTGGGTACAAAACGACTGGGTACGAAACGACCACGGGTAAAGAATGACCGCACACCATTTTTTCTAGCTTTGCAATGTAAAAATTAGTCAGTACACTAGCCCATACACTCTTCTCAGCCGCTCGGGATATTACTTGAGCTCGCTGTTAGTCCATCAAGGGACGAACAAGACCGACGAGTCATCTAAGGGGTAGGATATTAGTCTGGGCGGGGTGATCTTCTGCCGTAAATGTGAAGTTAGCTGATTATTCCAATCCAAGAGAGTAGGCAGGGGATGGTGGATACGGATGGCGGCCTCAACATACCCCATGACGTCTTGGCATTAATCTAACGTATACCTTACCAATTCCCTCACATCTAATTATTTACAGTTTATTTCTCATCGACTGGTGTACAGACTGTTTAAAATTAGATGGAAGCGGGGTTTGCCATCCAAATATCGACAAGGAATGAAGGCGAGATTGACGGTGATTTCATTCACCATACTGGAGACGATTTTGACTCCCATTTTACTTCCCCTCATTGCCTATTTTTCCTACAAGGATCAGACATGTCTGGAGAGAAAAATGCTCAGAGGTATGGACACTTCCTTCGAAAACAGCCATTGCGCAACTTCGGAAGGCCTACTCTAGGGCCTTGGCACACATATAGTTTGGTGACTGTAAAAGAGAACTTCTACTTCACGGCTCTTTTTTAAATAGAAAATAACTGAAATCTCCAAACAAGATAAGTTCATAAATACCAGAATACCGGCCTGTATCAGATTACCATACTTAAGAAGATCAAAGATTAACTACTACCTAAGTAATTTAAAAGTCTTTTTTAAGGACGAGCAGCTTTGCAAACTCAGGGTCTTACCTAAGGCCGGAGGGAGTTCGTCACGACTACTGTTTACCGCACAAGTAGCCATATACTTTTATATCCACACCTATTCTTTTCGACTTATTCCATAGTCTTTAGCCTTTAAACACATGTGTATGCATAATACCAGAAATGATATGGACTCCCATTCATCTAATAATCTACATTTCGAGATTTCTTTCTTTGCTTTTCGGGTAATACCTAAGGAAACTGTTCATATCACCTGGGTCCAAGCTTAAAATAGATATTTCATGCTAACACAGTTACGATATTATAAATAGCTTTATCACTTTCACAAAAGATCTTTTGAACTAATTCATTTTTTATTTATAATGTAAAAAGAAGACTTGAGACTTTCTTGTAAATTATTTTTTTGTGATCACTCGCCTTTGTCACGTACAATCACTACAGGAAACGCTTTATGTACTATCTTTTTTTCTCTTTCAGATCTGTACTTGAATTACTTGAGAACACCGTTCGTAATTTCTATAAAGGACCGACTCAGTCAAGTTGTCCACTTAGGGCTACACTTTAGATTATGTGTTCTCGCCTCGTCCGTCTCCGTGAGAACCGAGGAATGGCTAACACTGATATTCTACATAGGCTTCATGTTGTCTGAATATCAACAGTACCGGAGTTCTAAAAGCGCTAAAGAAAAACGAGTTCGAGTTTACCTACGGTTAGTAAGATGACCGGGACAGTCTTTTAGACGCTCTGTGTCTGTTGGTCCTAAAAGCAATTATATTTGTTATTAATGGAAATCTTTCCCCTCCCCCATAGCTCGCCTTACATCAGCTAACGATTTGGCTGGTCTGCTGTTTTTGATAGAGTGACATTCGTCTGTTTGATCATTTTTCACCGTTGAGGTTAACGGAGTAGAAGTTGGTCCGAAATTTCTTACTGTCGATAGGCTTTTGCTTATTTGCTTTCATATTTGCAGTGATTATCTCTTTGACTGACATAAATACCATCAGAAGAGAGTTTTGAGATGCTCACCTAGGACTTCATGTCAAATATGTAGATAAATTTACTTACTTCTTCTTCTGCAGAAATATGTGGAATTACGTTGATATGGTAATCCTGGGTTTGTTCTTTATGATGCTTGTTCTTCGATGCTTTACTTTAAACGAAACAGACCCATATCAGAGTCGATTATTACAAGTGGTCAACATCCTATATGGCATCAGTACTCTTCTTCTGACTCTAAGGTTCTCGAGCATTCTGGAGGTGAACAAAACAGTTGGACCTCTTCAGCTTGCTCTGTTCCGAATGTGTATCGACTTACTGATCATTTTGACGCAGTTCTCTTTCGTTATTATGGCTTTTTCTGCGGCTATCACGAAGGTATACGTCGCTGAGATTTCCTTTCTGACGACAGCACACCAAAGGGAATCAAACGAGACGGGTCGACTTGAAGAACTCAACGAAACCGGTCGAACAGGAGGGTCTGTAGAAAGAGTTTCCTACTGTAGGATAAGTTTTTATCAGCATGTACCAAGTAGACCTAAGGAATTGCTTTCCCTTTTCATGAAAGTTTATGCTTTTGTGTTTGCCCATTTTCTGAAACAAACCGAAAGTTAAAAAAAGATATACATTTCTTAGTAAGTCGGTATACCAGTGTTAATACGCTTTCTAAACTGTTACTTATACTAAGACAAGTTTTCATTTTCAGGTTTTGCACGAAAGGAAAATCAGCCTGGTAAGTAAAGTCTATCGGGTTGCCTCAATCTCGATTTGAATATGTACCACTGTTATGGAATAATTCTTACTATTCATTACTTTTGACTGTTCACTACCTTTTCTTATCTATACAGAGATGATAAACTTTGCCAAGAAGATTTCTTGGCCAATTTATATTAATACAAGCTGGTAATGAAGGCAACGCGACTAACTACTAGCGAACTGCAACGGTTTAATGGCGACAACAACTCAACGACATTAATACGTCTGCCGGGTGCACTAGGTTGAACAACGAAACTTAATTCGCATGCATAGCTAACGACGCCAGCGAGCAGAAAATTTTGCGATCCCAGGAAAAGCTCTTCAAGTGCCTGTATAACTAGTTTCCAATCAAATACTGCACGGGTAATTTTAAGAAATTCTTTAACTTATATACGGAGGAGGTTGTATCATACTTCCCTTATCTTGCAGTTTACTCCAGACGTCTAAATATCTTATTTGGTCTGTATTTGGTCTAACCGAATTGGACACGATGGAGACTAACGACGATGGGTCCGATTATGTTGTCGGTATCCTGTTCGTTTCCTTCTTAATCATCTCAGTGGTTATGCTAGTCAACATCCTGATTGCCTTGCTCACAAATACCTACAACAAGGTCGAGGTAAAAAATCTCTGTCCTTGCATCCACCTCCCACACACCTATTTCAGCTTGAAATGAAGCAGTCCGTCCAAAAATCGATTTCAGTTTAAGTCTGTGTTGTAACTAATTTCAAACGAAAGCTTGCTTTTGAAATGCATTTATTTATTCCCAGTGGTTTGAATGCCAAACTACATCCATAGAAAAGAGAGCTAAGGTACCAAGCTATCCGGCCAGAAATATTCAATAAAGACATGCTTAACACCTTCCAATGCATGTAACCTTCACTGCGTGCTTGGATTTGAATGGAAAATCTCACTGCTAATCAAAGATAAATGAAATAAAACGACTCACTTCAGGATGACTTTGTATCCTTATCACTGTTCAAATTCACAACGCAACTGTCCTTATTTTCAGACTAATGCAGACCTAGAGTGGAAATTTTTTCGCGCGGTGGTAGCAGAAGAATACAGAAGATATCATCCCATTGTTGTTCCGTTCAATATCATTTCCTTACCAATGTCTTTCCTCTACACCAAAAAGTATGGAGACAACCGAGCAAAGGTTTGATTGATGTTAGGATGGTAAAACTTTTGAATTTCTTGAATCACTCTCTTAAAGGAGAAAAAAAAAAACAATATTAAAAGTTTTGGTATTCAGACATGAAAATGGTATACCTTAAAGGCCTATTATCAGTCTGGGCCATAGACAGTTTGTCCATACCACTTCCCGTAATACGATTGGTCTAGACAAAACCAAAACAAACCGATATGGCAGAAAGAGAGAATTGGGAGGATACTTTTTATTGTTAGATTTCTCGTGGCGGCTATGTTATATTGCATAGTAGACAGCAGAACAGAATGGAAAATTTCAAGGGAGACATTGCTGACATGTTTATATTAGCAATATGACCGAGCAGAGTCTAATTCGGTCTGTAATCATACAAAAGATTAACCAAATCGGACGACCGCGAGGTAGTGGTCCGATTTTTAAATCATGAGTATGATACCAGACAGAATTGGACGAGAGGAAGTCCTGTTACCAACTAATCAAACTATGACAGTGCCAGGTATAATACGTAACCTTTTTCGGAAATTTGTCAAATTTGTTCGAGAAGTTGTGAGCAACTGTCTGTAAGGTAAACTAAGCTGCGGCGTTTACATTCTCATCCCAAATAAGGCTCTCCTATTTCCAGGAATGTCTGCAGTCCAATGATATCTTCTGTCTTTAAGTTTTATCTTTAGTTGCGTAGCTTGACTTAAATTAGTTTAATTCTGAATACTAATGATAGAAATTCTAACCTCAGAGAGTTAAAGAACGTCAACGAAGGCATGAAGAGCGCTGCAGATTGGAGCTCTTTCCTGCACTCACAAGGCGATACCTGGATAAATATGGAGGCTCATTTCCACTGTCAAGTATGTGAAATATAATATCCGCTTCCTGATAAGTGAGCAGAGTTTATTTTTTGAGTGACCTTTTAGAACTTGCTATCCTTGATGATACGAAGAACTTGCATGATGGCTTAAACTGTTAGTACATATAATTCTCAACTAATTAAGAGAAACTTATTTTTCATTTCTCTGTTGGCTCTCTCTTCTTTGGTTGTTTCAATTTGTTTTTATTTATGTATTATTTGTTTTCCAAACCTCGATAGGAGGTTTCTATCGAAAATAACACCGTAGATGTCGTGCTGAAATCTAGCGCTAATTAAATTAGTGGGTGAGCGGTATCCTTATGCTTATCTTGCATAAAAAATGTAGAAAAGCATCCAAATATAGCATCAAATGAATCTAAAGTTACGAGTGCGTATTTGCCAGGAGTGAAATGAATCTGAGGGACGCCAACTATAGTCAATATGAAACCTTTTAGGTGCTATTCTGACGGTAAACATCACCACAGCATATGAATCCGCTTCAGGGTGTCCGTTTTCCTGACAATTTCAACATATACTGGCCGAACTAAATCCTATCAGCTGTTCATTAAAGCCTTTTCCAAGTAGATATTTCAAAACAATAACGGCTGAACCTGTTCCATTTGTAGATGAGGAGAAAATCGACCTAGTAGCTGACAAATTTGATCAGCTTGCCAACAAAATAGACGTACTTGCCAACAAAATTGAACAACAAGAACAAAAACTTGATAGATTATTGGAGGTGATGGAAAAATACATCAAGCCCAACAGGTTAGACATTATTTGCTTCTCAGTTCAAAATGGAACTTCAGTAAGAAAGATAGTGCACTAAAATATACCGTGATAGAAATTGTATCTTATATATAGACGTTGTCTTGCGATCTATCTTTATTTTACGTTGAAAGATTCTTTACTTAGACAGCATTCTTATGAATTGAAACTAATGGTATCTGTTTCCTCAGACTCCTGTAGAGGTCCTGCATTCACAAGTTTCCCAACACAACGATGCTGTCGATCATCAATTAGATAAGAATATACAAAGGCCTTCTGGAGAGGCATCGGCTGACTTTCAAGATTAATTTTATCCCTAGGGAATAATAAATTGTCAATGGAAGTAAAATTCTTTTTTTGACGAATGAGCTTGTAAGAAGGCCGAAATAAATATTTTGTCAGGACACTGCAGGGCGTAGGTCTTAGCCCGTTGTATTATGGGCAGTTAACGAGAGGTATATAGGAAGGGGTATAGCACGCTATCATTAGTCATCAACGCTTCTGAATCAAATATTTCAGAGCTCATTTTAATTTCTATCATATCTTTTTGGTTAATTTTTACTTCACTATCGTCTAGTTTAGACTTTGTGAAGCTTCCGTAGGATGGGCTAACAGTTTCTGGAGCTAGAGCCTTGGCTCCCATCCACATTTCTTACCTATTTTTCTGGCCTACGCTCTAATCGTTCTTCCATTGTAAGCGGTTGCTTAGCTCCGTTAACCAGACGATTCCAACGTTTTTGTTTCGTGCGTCAGTGTTCACTCTGACTTAGTCTTTCTAAATACTCTTGTACTTTGGTTTATCAACCTCACTTTCTTGGATGATTTGTGCACATCTGTGTAGATTTTGGTCCAAAGAAGTGGACTTCCAAGCCTAACAGGCAGTTGTACTCAGAGTTTGTTTGATTTGTAAGTTTATCAGCCTAACTGGCCAGAACGATTTGTGCAAATGTTTTAAGATTTTAGCTAAAGTAGTGGACTTCCAAGCCTAGATGGCAGTCGGACGGAAAGATTTTACAGATTACGGCAAGTTTAGTTCTTGCACTTCCACATAAATGGACTGAAAAATAGCTCTTGTATTCTTCTTTACACCGACATGGGACTGCTTTCATGAATTTCCAAGGACGAGAACTAGTCTCTGGATGTGACATCATACTGCTGTCAGCTAACAGTCGCTGCACACTCTTAAATCAACTTAACGTTGTTCATCATGACATTAGCTCTCGCAGATGTTATAAGTAAAATAGTGTTTTGGGTTGGTTGTTGCCAGGCCCTTCCCAAATTAAATTATTTGGCCACAAGCTTTACCGCTTACCTGCTGTTTAAGTTTTAAATGCGCGCGCTTGCTTATGTTTAATTATGATAAGCCATCTCGTATTTTTCCATGTATATTATTAACACGTAATCACATGATTTTTCTCGTGCAATTTGGAATAAACAAGCACTTGTTAATTTTTTCAAAGACCACAAATTGCACTCGCCCTACGGGCTCGTGCAATTTTGTTAGTCTTAAAAATTTGCTCATGCTTATTTATTCCAAATTGCACTCGAAATCATGTGATTACCTGTACTAATACAGGCGAACCTCGATTATCCAAATTCTCTAATTATCCGGACATGCCTCTCTAGTCCTATTTCTATGAATATTAATTAGTCATATTTGAGATCTATAACAACATTTTCCCATCAAACAAAGCGCATGTAATGAAGCACTTCATCTTGCATCATTAGATCTTCAAAGAATGATAGAATTAGCGACCACACACGCTGTAGCAGCTTGAAACAGACTGATTTACGTCATCATTTCAGGTCGACGTCGTACTGAAAACGTTGTTGGTTAGCTTTAACTTTTTGAAAATACTTTTAGCAAACAATAATGCACAATGATTTACACGATCCTTCATATACTGGTAAACGTGTATTTTAAATTAGTGATTTATGTTTATATACAGGTAAGCTAGTCGATTAGGGGCAAATTAAACAAAACGGACACCCATACCTGTACTACATTCAATTTCTAGTTTTATACTGAAAATCTTCTCTTTATGATTAGCCCGCCATTAGCAATTAGATTACTGGGGCAATGGCATCTGATCGATGAACAATGGAAAGAATTATATCCGAAGTTAATGAAAGACAGGAAAGACGCGGTCATTTTCACTATCATCAAGAGAAAACAATGGGAGAGAGAGGGAAGATCAAGGCGTTGGCTGGGATATGTCGATTTCACTTAAGTTATTCTTAGCCTGAAATGGAAAGCATTGTTGTTTCCTAATGTAAAGGTATAACAAAGAGTTCATCATTCGCTTCTTAGAACAGCCACATCCAGGATTTTTGGTATAACGACAAGTTTACGAGGCTTACTAGTTCTTTCAGAAGATTCTTGATTAAGTGCTGTTAACTTTCTGTTTGAACTTGTACAGGAAGAAGAGGAACAACTGTGACTTGATTTTGCCTTTACCAAAAACTGTCAATAAATGCTTTCCCACTCTGATCCTCCATACCAACTGTCTTAAGTACAAGACCGTAGTTCTCTGATAACCAGAGTGCCTTTGGAACTTTTTCTCTGCAATGTATAATGCAAACATAGTTTTTAATTACTGTTGCAAACAGAAAGTATATCTTATGAAATTTAAAAAACGATCTCTGGCTAAAACTTTTAAAAATACAAGCTTTCGGCTGTTTGTGCAACAGCCTTCAACGGGTAAAATGATAAACAGGCAAAAAATACTGGGTGTGAAGTACAAAGTAAAAATTAAAAATGCTGATAACTAAGAATGTTTGTTAAAAAGAATATTGTATTGTCCGGGCAAAGGACAGGAATTGTTGTCCGCATTGGGAGTTAACTTGGAATGCCACGCTTCTAGTATTTTTCTTGTTCTGAAACCGCCTTTGTCAATAATAGATGCATTATCAAATGGTGTTCTTTCTTTCTTGTTGCTGTAGTTTTGGAAAGTTATTTAATTATGCGCACATAATAGTCACAAAAAAAACCAATGAGAAGGCAGTTGCGGACACTTAGGCCTTACAATTTACGCAATTGTAAACTGTAGCTTTTTTATGCTCTTTTTTTTTTTGCATCATTGTCAAGCACTATTTAGCGGTATTTGTTACTTTCGATGCTAAACTGTTTTATTCATAATTTTACCTTAAAAAAGCTGTCGTTAATTCCTTTTTGTAAAGTTTTTGTGACCGTTTCTTTTAGCACCTCTTGATCAACTTCAGCACTAATCACCGCGGATCATGTGCCACATTGTTAGAGGAGGTGGAGCTAGAGAAAATTAACATACCCGCGGGAGTTTTGAAGAAGGTTCCCACCGGAGCCCGTGGAAGACAAATTTAGCAGAGAAGCCGAGGCAATAAGTGACATTTCCAGAAAATCACGACTTCCATTCTATGCAATCTCCGAAAATTTATCCATAAGGTTTTCCTAACAATCAAGTTAAAATAATCGTATGGTAAAACAGCAAAAGAGTTTTTCCCTTTCACAAAATTACGTCCATAAGTAAGCAAAGGGCTTTTTCCCATGCAGGCAAACGTGTAAAAAAGCGAGTTTTAATACCCGTTTTGATATGTCTTTTAGACGTCCTAAAGCAACAGCAAAGGTATAGAAGGCCTCTCTTCTTCAAAATCAATATGTTAAAAGTGGTTTATCAGTCCGGGCCATAACCATTTCTGGATACTTGATGACGTCACTAACATGGATGTCGTAGTGGGACATCGAGGAAACTCCCTCATTACTTTATTCGAGCCCTAGCGACTTAGTTCCCTACCCATATCCCATGAAACCTTGCAAAATTACAGAAGACAAGCAATTACACACAACAAGCAAAGAACTGATGGTGGTCGCGATGACGAGAAGGAAAAATTCAGATTAAAAGTAGGGTGGAGGTCCATGTTTCGAAGGGCTCGATCGAGGAATAACCTCTATTTAGTTGAGGTTTTCAGGTATGCAACATTTTTTTTGATTCCTAAAAAAAATCTTTTAAAAAACTAGAATAAATTTGCTTCCAATTTGTCAAAATTCCAATCGAGTGCACGAGGTTTTTGCTCGAGTGCATGAATGTTGAAGGTCTGTTAGTGTGCAAACTACCAGACGGATTCCTTTGTTCAGATCCATCGGAGTATCGTGTAAACCATAAATTTTAACCATACGTTGTGGCCGACCAATTTAAAATAAAAGGACAATTATTTATCGGACCTCTATAATCCTACATTGTGAATTTCAGATCAAGCCAACAGCATGGATGAACACATTCAGTATCTCGAGACACTTTGTCGTCTTCGTGGCACAAATCTGCCACGGACCTGGGTCAGTACTACAAAGAAAGAATCTTTTAAATCGGAGCTCTGGATGAAATTTCGAATCAATGGCGATCTTGACATCAGAGAGATTCATTCAGCCAAGGCGAATGCACACTAAAAAATAATTTCAGGAAACCACGGATCTAACACATAAATGTGATTATCCAGCGAGTAAGTTCTCCTTCGGGCAAACATAAAACAAAGAGGTATTCGTTCACTGAGCTCTCACATCTTTAGGTATCGTATCCGGGAAATGTGCGATAAGAGCGGCATGAAGATGAAAATAAAGAAATCACATTGGTGGAAAGCCTTGCCGAAGTGTCTCTATTACAGCATTCCGGAAACAAAGGTTAGAGTTTAACTACACGAACTGACGAGAGTGAAATTTTCGTCTAAAACCACAAGGGACTTGTCTGTAATTGTGAAACTCGTTTAGAAACACCGCTCGTGCTTTCACATTTTGCAGTGATTACCTAAACAAACTTTCTATACAGGGTGTTCAAATCAAAGGGTAATTGTAAAGGACATATTATTGCTGACTAAAAGCTGTAGGACCGAATTTGTAGTGTTCTGAGACCTAGATTCTCCCGCGAATCGATCAATAGCGCGCAAAATACCTTGTATAATTCTCTTGCATTGAATTCGATCATGTGTATTCGTCTTAATATATATTGTGACTACTTGATTTTATTTTATCCCACTGATGTATTTATTGGCGTTTATTTTCCAGGTATCATAATTTCAAGATCAAAGCTCCGCGTGGAACACCGCTTGTTATTCAAAGTGAAGACGACGACACGCATGACTCGCATGCACTGGCTTGTCTTCTTCCACGAGAAATGGAACGCATTCCAGAGGCTCTACGAGAAGTCCAGATTTTCAGCAAATCGCAGAGAAAGACAAACACTTTAGGAGATGTCAAAGGGCAGCAGATCGGCACGGTTCAGCACTTTCTAAACATACAGCTGCATGCTTTGCTTCGATGTAGCAAAATAACCAGGAATTG